ACACTTCTCTCTCAATTACACTCCACAGTCAACCAAGCGTTCCCTTCCATGTTGTTTGGTTCTACGCCACGTTTATATTCAGCATTGAGCAATGGCCCGGTGACTAATGTCCCCTTAGTAACATGCTAGCCATTGGCAACCTCTGCTTCTCCATGTAAACTTCAACTCCTCTCAGTGCATTGTGAACAAATAAACATAGGAGTTGATGTTTATCTACAGACTGGAGAGCTACATGGTGGCTGATGGCCATTCCTTCATATTTGCCAAATCTAATGAGTGTATTACCATGACTATAGAACTTCAGTACAGCGATTTTCTTTCTTTCCGTATTGCCTGGCAGCCACGATGGAGCGATGTAGATTGATACTATGGTTCTCTCTGTCTGCACCAGTAGTAAAGAACCCAAAAATGGATGTGTAACGGCACCCCCAGGTAAAAAAGGGGTTAACAGCCATTTAGGAGATATTCCCTTCCAGAGACACAGACAGGCACTGTAGACACCAATCCACCGAACCGGAGAAGCATACGAATGCTCTCAAACATACGAATGCTGTAAACAGCCGAATAGGAAAAACCATACGAATAGGTTTACACTCCTAGCAGTCGAACTGGAACAGCATACAATAAATCCCCCCAAGAACGAGACAAGGCTCTGTTTTGAGGGTCAAGCAGGAAAAGACAGAGCTGTGGGTTTATTGTTCTTATATACACATTCTTAAACATTAGTACCACGCCAGGTTTTGTGGAACAACCAATAAACATGTATAATACACTCAGACACTCTCACACAAAATCCTCCCCTCTGCCTGTGATACAGTTACCTTACACAATGGGTTAATGTAATTATCACAGGCAGAGAAATACAGTTTTTCTACATTATTCATAACTTTAAAAGTACACGTCACATTCACATACAACTTACATTTTCAGAATCAGCATACTCCAAATACAAACATATGTATTGGTTCAAAAGTTAGATCGAAGTCCTTTGTGACCAAATGAAGCATGGCTTTTCTGCCCAAAACCAGTTCCACAGAGTCTTCTATCCTGGAGATAATTGGGAAGTAATCCAATTATCTCCTAGGACAGAGGCAAAACTCCATTAGCCACATGGTAGCAAAAGACAATAAAATACATAAATATATATAACTGTGCAGCCATTGCACAAAACAGGTACATTCAACATCTCCCCAGATAGCTCAGATCTGAGCGCACATTATTACTGAATGGCGCTCAGAGCACACACATACAGTTCAATTGCCATGGAGCCAAAGTCTTTCCCATAGCCTTTCATTATACGAATGGGCTCCATGGCATAGCTATCTGGGGTATCACTGCTCAAACAGGGCAAGCACCAAATGACCCGGCTTTCATGTCTTTGCAGGGGAAAATCAAGCCTTTTAACATGGGGCCATAATCCAAAGGCAACAGGCGTGCAACCAGGCTTCTCCAATGCAATGTGGCGAGATTGGTCTCATCACCGGATGTCTGCGTGATTTTGGAGAATCCCCTGCTGCCCCCAGTGAACTATTTATTATAGTGTCCTGTCTTCTTTATAGTGATGAAGTGATGAAGATTCCTAAATAACGTTGAGAGTTGAATTAAACAATGTTACTAATACACCATGTGAAGAATGGGTTGCCACGCTATGCCACGCATATGGTGTCCCCACAAATATCTATATATAGTTATGGAAAGATTGTGATAACAAAATAACAGATATCACTAGTTTTACTCTGTGATTTGGGGTTTTAAAACTATTAAACTTGGTAAGCTGAAAGCTGGCGTTAACAGGCCGGTAGGGTGGGCATCTCTAGGTTGGCTGCTGGGGATGCAGTAACTATGACTCCCGTCTCAGCGACCAGTTGCAACAATTATTGAGTTAACCTCTATCAACTCCGGGTGTGCGTCAACAGCATATCTCCAGCAGAGACTTAAAGTGTATTGGAGAGATTGTGTGATGGAGGGTCTATAGCACTCACATACACACACTCACACACTCATATACACACACACGAGCAGGAAATGGCTCGGGAATCCAACATAGTTTGGCAAAGTGTGGCTGTGGGGTGTAGGGGGGGCTCCATCAGGAAAATATCACTGAAAACCTTTTTCTGGTTTGCTAATTTCTCCTGCGACACGCGGCTAGCAGGGTGAGAATTTAGTGTAAACAATGTTCCTGTCTGGTGGCCGCAGTTTGGGCTGGTGTGGTTGGTGTGAGGTATCTTTACTTGGGACACATTGGGTGCTATAATAGGAATTGATCATTTTAATGTCACCCCTTGCCTGTGCATTGTTACTGCCCTGGGTATCTCACTCCTATTCACTTTCTAATGGCTTGTCCCACCAGGAGACCATGCCACAAAACACGTCATCCCAGACTGGTCTCTGAACGTGACAATGCATTCAGTTGAACTCAAATCCAATCACACAGAACAGCTCTGGGATGCCATGCAACAGGAGATTCACAACATTAATGGCGGCCAACACATCTACAGTGTGACGCAATCCTGTGACATGGACCCAGTCCAAGACTACAGGCGCAAACAGGGGCACGATTTAATATTTTCTAAACTGCTTGAATATATATCTCTGCATTCTGTAGATTGTTTATCAATTCATATTTGTATGTAGTTTCAGATTTGTGGACTTGCTAATGTGCAGTCCATGCCTTGGGTTCAGAGCTGGAGACACCGCAGGGCATCAGGTAAGGTACAAATGACGCCCAATCTACGATCAACCTTTTCTATGGTTTCCACGATAATTGCTCTAATTTTAGCACTTTGTCCAGGATGTGCTTCTTACACGCAACCCCAGAAATGAAAAATAACACAAAAATGCCAATGAAAAAAGTTGCAGTGCGTTTTAGGGAGAGATTGGCCAAATAGTCAATACTTGCTCCATTATAAAATTTAATAAAAACTCACTATTTGATTAATAATTTGCTATTCGTGTTAAGTGAAATAAAATCCAAGTTTTAATTACAAGAAAAGTTAAAGATCAAAGTATTTTGGGGTACAGCATTTCTTCACCAGTGCAGTATTCCTTCCTCAGAGTGTAAACATCGCTGGGAGCCTTGTGATGGCGCACGTTGACCGCTTTTTATTGCCAGTAACTGATTTTTCATACACGCTGCTCAGGAAACAACGTCAAGACAAGAATAAGGAAATGTCCCGGAACTACGATGCAGAAACACCTGCGGCCACTAGCTTTCCTCGGGGAGAAAACAGGAACATCTTATCAACAAAACTTCCCTGGAACCAAGAGAGACTCCGTGGAAGGCCCTGTTTTCTAAATCTGTGTTTTTCTATTTCCATCCACAAAATATTTTGGCAAAGGTCCAGAATCCAAAGAAAAAACATCTTCCTGCCCGGTAATTCGCAGTTTAAAACTATAGATAAAACCAAACATTTTCCGTACTGGTTTTTAACCCCTTTAGTGAATAAACCCCAAGTTACAGCACAGGCCTGAACCGACTAGCACAAAACAAGCAATTATTCGATTTTCAGATTATTCACTGAAGTCAGAATTCAACGTGAATCTCAAATTGTAAAAAATCTCTAACTGTAGTTCGCCTGCTTTTTCCTTAAATCTGGATTCACTTTGAATTCTCACTTTCGCACTTTGTGCTTTGCTTGGGATTCTTTCATAGTAATCAAACTGTGCTTGTTAGAATATTTTTTAATTGTGTTGATATAAACTAAATATTTGAACACATTGTCCAATTTGGTCATTCTTTTGTCGCACTATTTCTTTGTAAGTGAAATTTTTTCGTACACAGATTATTTTTACTGTAATTTCTCCATTGAATTTGGATGTTAAACACAAGACAGAATTTTCACTATTATAACTCACCCTTTGCTGAAGGTTGGATTGTTAGGAATTCCCAGTGCTGCGAAAGTTATAGTTTTGAAACGGCCTGTTTAATTTCACTTATTAGGCCAAGATTTGCATTCAGTAATTTGGGCTGGAAATGTTGAAATCTAAATTTCTGTTTTTATTTCTAAAATTGCTGTTTAGAAAAAAAGTAAACTATATGTCAAATCTGTAAATATTAAATTCTCTTAAAGCCCAGACGGAGGCATTTCACTGAAATCTGTTTCGTTGTCTCTGCACTGAAAGCGTTAATTTCATTCCTGGCAGCATTGCGCACTACTTCCGGGAGGAAACATTGACAGCTCTGTTGTTTCCTATTTTTAGTGCTAATAATAAAAGTAAGGATCTGATCCAGTAACTAAGAAGTTTTACAGGTGTAAATTCAGCCCAAATAACCTTGATAAACATTAAAGGATGCCTTTAATTTACACCCTACGGAAATGCTATATGTTTGCAAACAGCATGTTAGTAACTAGGCGTAGTATGTTCCGGTTAGTATATGCTGGGATTTCTAAAAGGCACTTATTCCATAAAAAGCGATCTGATCTGAGAAATAATTTGCAAATATTTTGATAAAATAGACAATAAGAAAACAATTGCTAATTCAACAGATTGTAGTAAAAATAAAATTCTAATAATATTATATGTTTTACTAAACCCGAATCACTGCTTAATGAATAATCCTTGTGTATTCACATATACCAAAAATAGCTTATAATATGCATTTTGTGCTCCTTGTGGGGTAATTCCTAGAAATATGCTGACAGTGAATTAATTGATATCAGTGAGAAGCAATGAGTCTTCACCCCGCCATGAGTCTTCACCACCCATGTCTCTTAACCCTCCTTTTGAATTTCTTACCCCTGTAGCCCCTTTAGTGTATACCCTTTTAGCACTTTGTGTGTCTTAAACCCCCTTTAATAAGGCTTACACACCTTGTGTGTCTCCACCCAGCCCCTTTTTGTCACTTTCTATCCCCACACCTCTTGTGTGTCTCTTGCCCCTCCAGCTTCTTTGCCTCCAATTTGTAGTGTGACCGCACGGACCTTGGTAGAGAATCTTCCTTATTTTCCATCCTGTCTGACAGCAAGCATGATATCCCATGGACAGAGCACGATATCCAGTGGACAGAGCACAATATCCGATGGACAGAGCACGTTATCCCATGGACAGAGCACAATATCCAATGGACAGAGCACATAATCCCATGGACAGGGCACGTTATCCCATGGACAGAGGACAATAACCCATGGACAGAGCGCAATATCCCTGGACAGGGCACGTCATACCATGGACAGAGTATGATATCCCATGGACAGGGCACGTTATCCCATGGACAGAGCAAGATATCCCATGGACAGAGCACGATATCCCATGGACAGAGGACAATATCCCATGGACAGAGCATGATATCCCATGGACAGGGCACATTATCCCATGGACAGAGCACGATATCCCATGGACAGAGGACAATATCCCATGGACAGAGCATGATATCCCATGGACAGGGCACATTATCCCATGGACAGAGCACGATATCCCATGGACAGAGGACAATATCCCATGGACAGAGCGCGATATCCCATGGACAGGGCACGTTATCCCATGGACAGAGCACGTTATCCCATGGACAGGGCACGTTATCCCATGGACAGGGCAGGTTATCCCACGGACAGAGCACGTTATCCCATGGACAGAGCACAACATCCCATGGAGAGAGCACGTTATCCAATGGACAGGGCACATTATCCCATGGAGAGAACGCAATATCCCATGGACAGGGCACATTTACCCATGGACAGGGCACATTATCCCATGGACTGGGCACAATATCCCATGGACAGGGCACGATATCCCTTGGACAGAGCATGTTATCCCATGGACAGACCACAATATCCAATGGACAGAGCACATTATCCCATGAACAGGGCACATTATCCCATGGACTGTGCACGCTGTGACGACTTGCTAAGGTATCACTGTCTTGCATACCCTTTTCCCATAATAATATTATGCCAATAATCCACAGGGTCCAATATCGCTGGTGTTGCATAATAACGCACACATGAGCCAAGGCTAAATGCTGGGACAAGTCTGGTTTAATGGCAAACAGGCATTCAATTTATACAGTGCATAAACTCTTCCTCTGAGCCAGAGAGGTAATTGAGTCAGAGAAAATACTAAACTCAATTATCTTCTGGTCAGAAAAAGTAACATTTTACACAACACCCCAAAATACATGGGAACCCCACAAACGTAAATAAAAAAAAATCAGCCAGATCCGTTTGGTAGTTTGCGAATGGCACCACAGGAAGAGTTGACCGGTCTGCCACGAGGTTGAAGCCAGAAACATTTCCATGAAAAATGTAGCAAGAGCCGGTCTCCGTTTGTGGGGTTTTGTACGAAAACCACAGAAGATACAGTCAAGCTGGTTCGTGGAGAATGCTCCCTGTGTTCGGTATTCTGAAACTCCCGAACGCTGTGAATGGGAAGAGGAACGTAGAAGGGATCCGTAAAGACCGGTGTTCATGTGAATGCCTTGCCGAAAACAGTTCCAGGCACTCAATGATCAAGTCCCACAGGTGGCGTTTGGGAGACAAGATGGCCGCAATCCATTGTTCCAACCACGTGTATTCGTATGCACGAAATGGCAGCCAACCAGGAGCATTCAATTGAGCTGCGATTTTCATACAAGATATACAATGTTCTAAGTTCTAATTAGTCTCTGGGGTGGTCTCGGTTTGGGAACCAAACAAATTGACGAACTGACTGAATGAACTGGAACAGGATAATAACAGTGAATGCAAATAGCCGAACAGTGATGGGGCATCTCTTCACACATGCTATCCCATGGACAGAGGCAGGGCCCGATATCCTATGGACAGAGACAGGGCACGATATCCCATGGACAGAGCACGATATCCCAGAGAATGTTATCCCTTGGACAGAGCACGATATACCCTTGGACAGAGCATGATATCCCATGGACAGAGACAGGGCACGATATCCCATGGACAGAGCATGTTATCCCTTGGACAGAGCACAATATCTCCTCGGTCGCTGGTGAAGTGGCTGAGTGGTAGCTGCAGCTGAAGGGTATACGCAGTCAGGGAGCAAGTTCTTTGCTTTAGCCCCTTGAGCCCGGGTTACCACCTGGACGTAGTAGCTCTCCATGGTCCCCAGGTCGTTCCCCAATAACATATCCACAGGGAGGCCTGGCAACACTCCCACCTCCCTGTATCCACAGCCAGCACCCAAGTCCAGCCACACACGGGCCATAGAAATAGTAAGTCTCCCTCTGCCAGCAGCGGCAATCACTTTGGGCTGGGGCAATCGCAGGACACCTCACAACAAATGAGGCTTAACAATAATTCCAGGCAATATAACCACTTCAATGAGATGGAATGGTTTAACACTGAATGGAGGGACAGCGCCAGGGGACTCCAGGCACTATAACCACTTCAATGAGATAGAATGGTTTAACACTGAATGGAGGGACAGTGCCAGGGGACTCCAGGCACTATAACCACTTCAGTGAGATGGAATCGTTATAGAGCTTACAGTATCCCTTTTTGATATGATAATGTATGAAACTTTACTGATAGTGAAAAATATGTACAATATAGAGTATGAATGTCTGAGTCTGCATTATAAATTCTACACAGATTTTTAATGAATGGTTTAAAGAATGAACCCTTCTGATGTCAGTTTCAAATGTAGAAAAGCCCCTGGACAAGTGCATTACACAGAACACATCTTATGGTAATAGAACATGGAGGGGCGAAGGCTAAATGCAGTTACAATATATACCATTTGTTTCCAGAGGGGGCAGCAAAGCACCACCATGTAAGATCGAATGAGTTATATGATTTTATTATCGCAGGAAACATTGTTTCAAAATAAGGAAAAGTCAGAGAGGGGTATTGCTATCAGACGAAATAACCAACAACGATGAATAATGAAAATCTGTACAATAAGTGATATATGGAATAAGAATGGTTATTACATTTGGAATTACTTCATTTACTTGTCTAATTTCTGGTTTAGAATTCTAGTTTTTTTTTTAAAGATTAATGCAGCCAGGTTGCGTTGGTTGGGAACCGGCCCCTGACGCAAATGATGCATAAGGAACGAGACACTGAATCCATTTTCGGGTCCTGTCCTGCCATCCCAGCTTAGTTCCCTGGTGTGAATTTACGTGCTGGCCCTATGCTTGGGCACTTCATGCCCTTAGTGGGCAGCCAGCATGTATTAACTTTGAAGGTGGGGCAAGTAAGGCAATCACATCACTTTTACCCCCTTCACCCCCATCCCACCGGCGTACTGATTCTCAGGGAGATATGGGCTAATGCTTTGTCATTCGTCCAAGCAGAGGTGACTCTTATTTATCATTAAAATATTAAAATGGTTTGGAAGGCCAGTGCCGAGGGATGCCAAACACCGGGCATTGCTGGGCTCGGAGGGGAGGCGGTGTGATGGCTCCCCAAGTGGCCGCTGTATTCCCAGTCCCCGGATGTGCAGGTTTTCTGCCCGCTAGCTTTATTGACAGCTTCCTCTTTGTCTATAAACTCCTAACATTCTGCAATAATCAATCCGACTTTATTAACTCCCAGCTTGGACATTGCAGGAGTGACAAAGGGAGCCAAGCACAGCCAAGCTGTGCCTAGACACCTCCGCGTCCCCTGCTCCTCCCTCACCTTCAGGTGCAGAGATTTCTCCCGAGAATTAAAGTCCTTTTTCATGCATGACAAAACCTTACTGTCATTTGCCACTGCTTATTGACATTGCACATTGTTGCATAGTTTGTTGTCTACAACAATACCCAAGTCCTTTTCATGTGTTGCTATCCCTAATTCGCTTCCATTAAGGATATAAGTTGCTTGGGGAGGCATGGGGAGGCTGTGCCGGCTGAGAGGTCCTATCACATCCTGCGCGCTGGGATAGATGCTATCCTGTGCTGGTAGCCACTCAGATACAGTTAAAGGACCACTATAGGCACCCAGACCACTTCAGCTTAATGAAGTGGTCTGTGTGCCAGGTCCAGCTAGGTTTAACCCTTTTTGCTGTAAACATAGCAGTTTCAGAGAAACTGCTGTTTACTTTAGGGTTAATCCAGCCTCTAGTGGCTGTCTCATTGACAGCCGCTAGAGACGCTTCCGCGTTTCTCATTGTGATTTTCACAGTGAGAAGACGCCAGCGTCCATTGGAAAGCATTGAGAATGCTTTCCTATGTACTGGCTGAATATGCGCACGGCTCAGCCAGGGACGTCAGAAGAGGGAGGAGAGTCCCAGCGCTGGAAAAAAAGGTAAGGGATTAACCCCTTCCTCCCCCTTCAGCGCCACGGGAGTGGGACCCTAAGGGTGGGGGCACCCTCAGGGCACTATAGTGCCTGGAAAACTAATTTGTTTTCCTGGCACTATAGTGGTCCTTTAATAAATTACCTGCGCGGGGTAGGTGGCCTGATCTCACCATCTATCAGTCAGCGCTATCCCTCCCAGACAGTCTTTCCGTATAAGTTAAGGACCCAAGTCTGTAGGGAGGAAAGGTAAGCCCTATACATATTTATAAAACATATACAATATTACACACCGCAATGAAATCCATACAATATTATACGTCTCTAAAAAATACATACAGTATTATTATTTGTGTCAATAAAACACATGATATATTACACGTGTCAATAAAATACATACAATATTACATGCCTCAATGAAATACATGCAATATTCTGGGCAGACTATTAGGGTTATAATATCTTCTTGTTCTCACGTTATATATTGGACCTCCTCCTGTAACGGATGATGGTTGGTAAACAAGACTGCAGTGTTGTCCATGATTAGAATTTACTATTGAAGAAGATCTTTATTCTCTGTGGGAAACGGACATCTAATTATCAGAACTGCGAGAATGTCACTTGTCCTGCTCCCCGGCCCTGTACCCTCCTTTAATTCAGAACACCAGTATTTATCCAAATTTTAAAAGGGTTTATGGATGGAGGGAATATACAGAGGCTGAGATGTGTAGGAGCCCAGAAGATAAGACTCTGTCTCTGGGCTCCTGTCTGTTAAATATTAGAGAAACATTGATTCTTCCAGTTTATATTATTAAAGGGACACTCCAGGCTCCCACACACGTTAGATGCACTGTGTAGGTTAGGTTACAGTTATACTGGGTGGGTTTATATTATTAAAGGGATACTCCAGGCTCCCACACACATTAGATGCATTGTGTAGGTTAGGTTACAGTTATACTGGGTGGGTTTATATTATTAAAGGGATACTCCAGGCTCCCATACACGTTAGATGCACTGTGTAGGTTAGGTTACATTTAGTTATACTGGGTGGGTTTATATTATTAAAGGGACACTCCAGGCTCCCACACACGTTAGATGCATTGTGTACGTTAGGTTACAGTTAGTTATCCTGGGTGGGTTTATATTATTAAAGGGACACTCCAGGCTCTCACACACGTTAGGTGCACTGTGTAGGTTAGGTTACAGTTAGTTATACTGGGTGGGTTTCTATTATTAAAGGGACACTCCAGGCTCCCACACACGTTAGGTGCACTGTGTAGGTTGGGTTACAGTTAGTTATACTGGGTTGGTTTATATTATTAAAGGGACACTCCAGGCTCCCACACACGTTAGGTGCACTGTGTAAGTTAGGTTACATTTAGTTATACTGGGTGGGTTTATATTATTAAAGGGACACTCCAGGCTCTCACACACGTTAGATGCACTGTGTAGGTTAGGTTATAGTTATACTGGGTGGGTTTATATTATTAAAGGGACACTCCAGGCTCCCACACGCGTTAGATGCACTGTGTAGGTTAGGTTACAGTTAGTTATACTGGGTGGGTTTATATTATTAAAGGGACACTCCAGGCTCCCACACACGTTAGATGCACTGTGTAGGTTAGGTTACAGTTAGTTATACTGGGTGGGTTTATATTATTAAAGGGACACTCCAGGCTCCCACACACGTTAGGTGCACTGTGTAGGTTGGGTTACAGTTAGTTATACTGGGTGGGTTTATATTATTAAAGGGACACTCCAGGCTCCCACACACGTTAGATGCACTGTGTAGGTTAGGTTACAGTTAGTTATACTGGGTGGGTTTATATTATTAAAGGGACACTCCAGGCTCCCACACACGTTAGATGCACTGTGTAGGTTAGGTTACAGTTAGTTATACTGGGTGGGTTTATATTATTAAAGGGACACTCCAGGCTCCCACACACGTTAGATGCACTGTGTAGGTTGGGTTACAGTTAGTTATACTGGGTGGTTTATATTATTAAAGGGACATCCAGGCTCCCACACATGTTAGGTGCACTGTGTAGGTTAGGTTACAGTTAGTTATACTGGGTGGGTTTATATTATTAAAGGGACACTCCAGGCTCCCACACACGTTAGATGCACTGTGTAGGTTAGGTTACAGTTAGTTATACTGGGTGGGTTTATATTATTAAAGGGACACTCCAGGCTCCCACACACGTTAGATGCACTGTGTAGGTTAGGTTACAGTTAGTTATACTGGGTGGGTTTATATTATTAAAGGGACACTCCAGGCTCCCACACACGTTAGATGCACTGTGTAGGTTAGGTTACAGTTAGTTATACTGGGTAGGTTTATATTATTAAAGGGACACTCCAGGCTCCCACACATGTTAGGTGCACTGTGTAGGTTAGGTTACAGTTAGTTATACTGGGTGGGTTTATATTATTAAAGGGACACTCCAGGCTCCCACACATGTTAGATGCACTGTGTAGGTTAGGTTACAGTTAGTTATACTGGGTGGGTTTATATTATTAAAGGGACACTCCAGGCTCCCACACACGTTAGATGCACTGTGTAGGTTAGGTTACAGTTAGTTATACTGGGTGGGTTTATATTATTAAAGGACACTCCAGGCTCCCACACACGTTAGATGCACTGTGTAGGTTAGGTTACAGTTAGTTATACTGGGTGGGTTTATATTATTAAAGGGACACTCCAGGCTCCCACACATGTTAGATGCACTGTGTAGGTTAGGTTACAGTTAGTTATACTGGGTGGGT